GGGCGTGAGGGTCCTGCCGGCTCTGACGGACGCATACAGGTGCCCAGAGCCGGGGATGCCGTTCGCGAGCTCCTGGGCACTCATCTTCACCAGCACCCTGAAGTGCTCCTCTTCCTCGAAGCACGGGCTATGGCCAGAGGAAGGGCGCATCGCCAGAGGCCCAGCCACGCCCCTTCAGTACCAGGGAGATGGACTCTCTTTCAGCAGCTCGGAAACAGTACAAAGCCACAGGAATCGCTGGCTCAGAGGAGCCAGGCTGAAGCCAACAACAGGCACGGGAGTGAAGCTTCCAGTCTGGAGCACCTCCGACTAAGACTGGCATCCCCGAGAAGGAGTGTCCCCAGCCAGCAGACTTACTTGTTAAATATTTCACTCCACAAGTGCATCATGTCCGGCAGGTTTCGATCCAGGCAGAGAGACGAGAAAAGCACCCCCTAAACCATGAGAGAAGCAATACAGAGAAGCAGCTAAAGACGGCATAACTACACACACAAAAAGACAGGGAGAGACAGGCCTCCGCACAGCTGTGAGCTGGACCCTGGCTACCTGCTCGTAGGTGTCCAGGTGCGCCGCGTCGGGGAGCACCGAGGGGGAGACACTCATGCCGCCCGTCTTCAGCTCGATCTGCTGCGCCAGCTCCCGGTAGTCGAAGATGCCGCAGCCCAGCCTGCGACGCAGGGAAGAGCCGCCCATCACCAAGACTGGCTCGACCGTGCCACCTGGAACCTCAGGTGCCTTGAGTTACAACTGCTAAATTAACGGCCGCAGCCTCACACGCCTCTTCTTACACTTCAGAGGCCATGAAGTAGGGCGGCATTTTGGCACCAGCCCTGTAGTGCTTACACACCCCTCCCCACGGTGGGAGCCAGGGCCTCTCATCCGAGGATTCATGTGGCGCCCAGGACACGAGGCGCCTGGGCAGCCCGAGTCAGAGCTGGGAGTGGAATTCTGAACTGTGTGGCTCTGGACCCCAGCTGCCAGTGTTTCCCCGACGCTCTCCTTCCAAAACTTCCAGCTGCTGCTTCACTTGCTCAGGCATCTGAGTCTTGGCAGAGCTGAAGTCTAAGCCTGTTTTCAGAAAAGCTGTCCTCTGCTTCTGGAGGAACATTCCCACGGACATTGATAAGGAATAACTCGGCCACAGGGACAGCGAGTGGGGGGGAGGGGGCGTTTCCTAAACTGCTGCGGAGGGACCAGCAGCGGATGCTCTGTGGAAGAGAAAGGAGGGAACGTCCACAAGCCCAAGATATCTTCCTTCTGACCCAGGCCTCGCAGGGGCAGAGGGCCTGCGGCCACACGGCCTTCTCTGGGGTAGACACTGTCCCCTGGGGACCACGACGGCAGCGCACCTGGTGGCAGGGTCCCCAACTGACTGCAGCGTCTCATGTCCCCACCTTCCCTACTGGCTGGAAGGGAAGTCCCCAGCCCTGGCCACTGCTTTTCCTGCCACGCTCAGCCACATTCACGGAGGGAAAAGCGACCCGCAGCTGTGTGTGTGCCCACATCTGCCCATAGACACCTGTCCAAGGAGGATGGCAGCGACGGCAAAGGCAGGCAGAGGGGAGGCCACACGGGGAGGGGGCACACACACTCCAAGGCAGCCCGGGCGGGCGCGCCACACACAAAAACAAGGACTTCGGCTTTCTGAAGAGATGCAGTCATTCTTTTTCCAAAACCTTGACAGATCAATACCACTGAGACAGACGATAAGTATTACTGGCTGGGCGCAGCGGCTCATGCCTGTCATCCCAGCACTTTGGGAGGCCAAGGCGGGAGGATCGCTTGAGCCCAGCAGTTCAAGATCAGCCTGGTCAACAGAGCGAGGCTTCATCTCTACAAAAAGTTTTTTAACAACTAGTCGGGCTTGGTGACGCCTGCATGTAGTCCCAGCTACTAGGGAGGCTGAGGTGGGAGGATCACCTGGGTCCTGGAGGTTGAGGCTACAGCAAGCTGTGACCATGCTGCTGCACTCCAGCATGAGTGAGACTCTCAACTCAAATAAATAAATAAAATAATATATAAGTATTACCATCTACTCTAGACTGATACATATTTTAATATATAGTAAGAAATGTAATTTTCATAAAAAACAAATTCTTAGCCACTATTTTATACACTTTACTTATAAACCGAAACACTGTAGGCTGAAAAACAAAACGGACAGGTGCAGGGGCTCATGCCTGTCATCTCAGCACTTTGGGAGGCCAAGGCGGGAGGATCGTTTGAGCCCAGGAGTTCAAGACCAGCAAGGGCCACATCCTTACTTTAAAAAAAAAAAGCTTCATCACAGACGTGGCCATTGCCAGACCACTGCCAGACCACTGCCGGATTGCCTTGCTAAGCTATGGTGTGGCCACGTGTTCTTGGAGTGATGGCCAGGCCATGTTTCCTCTACCCTGGGGAGGTGAATCTCCCCTTTCTCTCTGTCTCTCTCTCCCACTTACTTTCTAAATAATCTATATTTTCTTATCTTAAAAAACCCAAACACACGCAGATGCCCACACGAGAGCGCTATGGCTGAGCTGTGGGAGGCGGTGTCGCGCGCAGGCGCACCTGGTCAGCACGCTGCAGAAGAGGGGCACGTAGGGCTTCAGCTCCTCGGGGAGCGTGTGCAGGCTGGAGAAGGCACGGAAGTAGACCATGCCGTTGGTGGGCTGCGCGCAGTACTGCACGGGGGTCCCTCCGGCTGCAACACAGAAGCGGGCGCCTTGTCACTCTTGCCAGTCACACTTCAGCCGTCTTTAGTGTTTAAGACATCGAGCTGCCCCTTTTCGAGGACAGAGGTTTGGAACATGCAGTAGCAAAGCCCCACCACTCGCCTGCCAGAGTCCACACGAATGTCCCTGCTGCACCACCATCGTGATGGGACACCCAGACACCCTCAACCTGCAGCCCTCGCCCTCTGAGGACTGAGACGGAGGGTGAAGCCTTGGTCTTCTGGCCTCAGAGCTGCTGGTGCTCAGCAGGGTCCCCCTCTCTCCACCCTAGCTGCCTTGCTGCCCCACACCTGCCCTCGGCCAGAGTGGCCAAGACACCCCGGGACATCTCGCCCAGCCTCAGGACCGCTCATCTTCCCTGATGGGTGCTGTCCAGCTGAGGCCCACACTCCTGCCGGGTCCGTGGAGGCCACCGACGGCCTTGTGTGGCCCCGCATGCACTCTGGCATGGTCCCGGAGACCCACTCTGTCCACCCTACCTAGCACAGTGCCCTAAGGAAGGGACCCGTGCACGGACAGATGGCTGACTGACCTGCACCCACCCATGTCTGTGATGAACCCTTGATGAGGTTCACTAATACATCAAAAACCAGGGGAAGAACCGATCAAGGGGTGGTAACCCCAATTTCCAGAAGACAAGACTTCACTCACACATACACGTGTGCACATATAAACACATCAGATGGAAACACGGCAAGCCCTGCTGTAAAACAAGGCAGGCTGGGATGCCCCCGGGACACGGAATGGTCTCTGAGATGCTACCCTCACAGTGTGGGCAGAGGCATCATGCAGCAGCTGTCCGCCCTCCCGCGTGCACAACACCTGCCGGGTGACATCACCCTGAGACACGGGCCTCGTGCTACCAACCAGGAGCCTGAGAACTCACAGTGGCTGTGCTGACTCCAGCCCCTGCGGTGACCATGTGCACGCCTGCCCTGTAAGGCCTTGCCCTCCCCTCCTGCACCCACGAGCTCAGGGGCCGGCTTGGGGAAAGGCTCGGGAGGCCTGCGTCTTTCACGCTGTACTCGGGCCAGCCACAGTGTCACCCCAATCCTCAGGGAACCGGAAGCAGCAGGTCACCGGCCCCACCAAGTCCACCCTGGGAAAGCAGGCGCGGCCCCTGCCGGGCGAGGAAGCCCAGCATAACAAGATGCCACACAGGAGCCACTGGGCAGGAGATGATCAGGACTGTCAGCCAGCAAGAGTGCACGCAGGTTCTAGGGACGACACCTAGAACCAGATGCCACCACCCCCGACCCTCGCAGAGGGTGCCGCTGCCAGCGACCTGCAAGGGCCACATCCAGCTCTGTGACCGGCATGACGGGCTCGATGTCGGAGACTTTCAGCGCTGGCAGGCAAGAGGCATCCTGGGGTTTGCTTTGCTGGGCTCGTAATTCCAAACCTAGAAGAAAGGAGAATGGACGTTCTGGACCACCTGGGAGGGTGAGGCTTCCCTTCCTCCTGATCGCTACCACCTCACGTGCACAGTCAGCCCCGGGGGGCGCATCGGTGCTGTGGGTGTGAGGTGCCTGCCGGTGCCTGCCTTTCCCAATCATGCCAAGTCCCGTTCTCCATGACTCTAAAAAGCCACCTTCACTGGGAGCGGTGGTTTGTGCCTAACGAGAAGTCACAAGTAAACAACAGGTCACAAGCTGAAGTGCACCGCTCCTTCACTACATTATAAAACCTGACACCGAGCCCTCTGCCCCTCACTTGCTACACTGGACAGCGAGACTTGTTTTGAGCATTTTTAGTCGTTCCTTGCTGGCTCTACACCTGCTTCTTATCATTTCATTTTCACAGATTGCAGCAAAACGCATACGTCATCAAACGAATTACACAAATTGCAGCAGTGCTCAAAGCACCTTTCCTGGCTGATGGCGACTACCCCAGGAGGGACAGGGCCTCGCGGGGACCCGCTCCACAGGGCCCGTACACAAGGAACCACCCAGGAGGCCCTAGCACGTCCGCCAAGGCAGACCTGATGGCACATGTGCAAAGACTTCACAGATTGAAACGGTGTCACAGAGACATACTAAGGCGTTAGGTCACAGGCCTCAGGGACGCACGGCTGCCAGGTGACGACCCTAACTCACGCCTGGAGTCTGCCGCGCCGACCCTCGGGCGAAAAGCACCAGCCTCTCCTCACCTCACTCGCATGAAGTCCCTGAGAGCGCAGGCCTGCGAGGAGACAGGGCTGTGGGCAGGGAGCAGCTCGCCCTTACAGGCGCCCAGCCTCTGGGTGAAGGCTGCCCCGCCCCGGGATCCGGACCGGGCGAGGTTCGGGAGCTGAGACCCCACCCACCACCACCCACACACCCTACGGCAGCGGCTTGGCAAGCAGTCCCACACAGTCCCTTCCCGGTCATCCCGCCCTGGCCCTCACCTGCCCACGTTTCCGAGTTACCACCTCATGCGGAGGGCTTCTAGTTCTGGGCCTTTCACGTGGCAAAGGTTCCTCTAACCCCTTCACCCGGCTGGACTTGCCGGTTAGAACAGGGCTGGCCTCGTTGACAAGACGCCTCGCCGGCTCCCGTAACAGTGTCCAAGACCCCCTCCTCTAAACTCTCCTTACCTGCTCCGACTTTCCAGTGCCCAAGACACGCCTCCTTGAATCAGTCCTCACCTGTTCTAATAGCCCAGTGTCCGAGACCCACCTCCTCCAAGTCACGCCTCACCTAATATCTAATATTCCAGTCCCTAACACCCACTTCTCTAAACACTTCACCTGCTCTGACACCCCAGTGTCCAAGACTCACTTCCTCCAATTCACACCCCACCTGCTCCGACATCCCAGTGTCCAAGGCCCACCTCCTCCAAATCATTCCTCACCCGCTCCAAAATCCCAGTGTCCAAGACCCAACTCCTCTAAGACGTCCTGCAGCTCTGACATCCCACGTTGTCCTTCCTTGAATGCACTTACAGTGAGTACAAAAACGTGTAGCATTTTCTTTCTTTCACCATATCACAAGCTCCCTGAGGGTGTCAGTTCCGTGCTGTCACAGTAGTTAATACATCACACAGAGTTGCCAAAAACTTGCAGATTAAATGTTTTAATAAACTGAACAATGGCCCACTCATCGCTTTTTCACTGCTCCTCTGCTAATTGGTCTTTCAGCTCGAGGCACTGCAGCATGTCTCTAAGGCTTGCTGGCCTGAGTGACCGTCACCAGCATGTGTCCTACTCACAGGAGCACCGCAGCAAGTCTGCAAAGTACCAATGCACACCTGGAACATGTGCATTGTTCATCAACACCTGGCTTGGACTGCAGCACACGACTTCCATGGCACGAAGCCCAGGCCTCTGACACACGGTCAGGAAACACACACTCTGCTGCTTAAGTGCAGAAGTTTCTTGTGTGCCTATACACATCCCTTTGATTGCATTTGGAAGACAGGCGCTCTCCCAAAACACACCTAAAATAGCCATGTCTACACGAGAACGCCCACATAAAGAACAGGTCCCAAGAAGACACTCGTGGTTCCTTCACGTTACAGAACCCCAAACCGAGCACTCAGAACAGAACTGCTCTTTGTCCCCTGACGTCCGGGCTACCTCCCAGGCCTGATGATCCTCACATAGTGCCAGCCCGAAGAGCGCCTCAGGGAGGGGTGGATGCCTGTGCCAGCCCATGGCACATGCTTTAGTGTGCTTTATTAATACAGAACTTACCAGCAGAAGCTGCCACAATTTTTTTTTTTGAGTTAGAGTCTCATTCCTTCGCCCAGGCTGGAGTGCAGTGGCATGCACACTCACGGCCAGCCCAGCGTTGACCTTCTGGGCTCCAGCGATCCTTTCGCCTCAGCCTTCTGAGTAGCAGGAACTATAGACGCGCGCTCCCACGCCTGGCTGTTTTTTATTTTATTATAGAGATGAGGTCTTGCCAGGTTGCCCGGGCTGGTCCCGAACTCGCGGCTCAGGCAATCCACTTGCCTCGGCCTCCCAAAGTGCTAGGATGACAGGCTGAGCCACCGAGCCCGGCCAACA